CCTCCCTCCCTCCCTCCCTCCCTCCCTTCCTTCCTTCCTTCTTTTAGCTATGCTTTTACAGCCCTCTCTAAGCAGTTTACAGAGTCAGCCTCTTGCCTCCAACAATCTGGGTCCTCATGTTACCCACGTCGGAAGGACAGAAGGTTGGGTCAACCGTGAGCCAGTCAGGATTGAACTCTTGGCAGTGGGCAGAATTAGCCTGCAACATTGCCTTCTCACCACTGCACATCATGGATGGATGGATGGATGGATGGATGGGAGGAAGGGAGGGAGGGAGGGAGGGAGGAAGGGCAATAGCACTTAGACTTATATACCGCTTCGTACAGCCCTCTCTAAGCGGTTTACAGAGTCAGCTTCTTGCCCCCAACAACCTGGGTCATTATTTTACCCACCGCTGAAGGATGGAAGGCTGAGCCAACCTTGAGCCGGTGAGACTCGAACTGCCTTGCAATCAGCTGGCAGTCATCAGAAGTGTGGTTCCCCCCCCCCCCAAATGCAAGGATTTAAGAAAGAGAAATATCAAATGTCACCCCCTAGAGACTGTGCTTCATTTTCAAGAATAACTCTCTACCCTCCCTAAACTTTAAAAATTACTGTGCAGCTCAGTGCTTTTCTGGGACAAAGGTTGGAAGGGCCAAAGTAAACTGACTTTCTAAGGTATGTTCTTTCCTGCTCACCTTTTCCCTGAGTGGCAAGAACTTTAAATGTGCCCCTCCCCCAGCCAGAGAAGGACAGATGTGTACGTGTTCATGGTCTGTCAAACTGATTTTTGATTAATTTGATTTTGCAGAATGCCCGATCTCGCCTCTCTCTTTTTTCTACAACCAAAGATAGATCGTCCCATGGTTATACATATCCTGCCATCTGTATAAAGAAAGTCCCATATGCTTAAATTCTGATCTCCCTTCCTATAGTAATTATGGGAAGGAATTCCTGAGGTTTTTCCTACCACCGTCATGTACCTACAGTCTGTGTTTGAAAACTGAAATCATTTATTTATTCACTTGTACACCACTGTATTTTTACATGTAACTCAAGGCGGCGAAGATATCCAACATAGCTTCCTCCTTTTCTTTTTTCCCCAACAACAAGCCTATGAGGTAGGCTGGGGAGAGAGGGGTGAGGGGAGAGAGAGAGGTCACCTGGCTTGCTTTTATGGATAAGGTAGGACTAGAACTCACCGTCTCCTGGTGATTGGCTCAAAGTCACTTAACTGGCTTTCATGGCTAAGACCAGATTAGAACTCCCAGTTGCCAACATTTTATCCTCATGTCTTAACCACCAGACCAAACTGGTTCTCATGCATTCTCATGGCCTCCTTTTCTTCAGCCTGAACATCTTCATCTCCCCATGTTCTTCTGAACTATGCCATTCCATGGCCTGTTTGGCTGGAACTCAGTTATCGTCTATGAATCAGACAAAATAACAGTGAGGGTACTTTTTCTTAAATTGCCATGTGTCAGAGATCCAAATAGCATCCTCTGTTGATTATTGGAAAGGTAAGATATTAATCTGGAGAAACAGATCATTCCAACAGGCACTGATGAGTTCTTTTTTTTGAAAAAGTTTTTTATTTTTGTTTCATACATATAACCACAAGTATACCATTACATCTGAACAGAATTTTTGGGGGGATTGTCCATTATTATATCATTCCCTCAACCAAAAACAGCTGTCATTTGCTCTCCTGCTTTCAATATATCATATACCCTGTTTCACTGCCATCCTATCTGCTCTCCCTCTCTCTTCCTCCCTGCCTCCTTTCTTCCCTCTACCATCCCTCTCTTCTCTACTTCCCCTTCCTCTCCTCTTTCTGCTCCTTTTTTCTCTCCTACTTCTCCTCTCCCTTCTATTTCCCTCTCTCTCCTCCCTACCTCCTTTCTTCCCTTTGCCATTTTTCTTCTCTACTTCCCCTTCCTCTCTCCTCCTCTTTCCACTCCTTCTCTCTCTCCTACTTCTCCTCTCCCTTCTATTTTCCTCTCTCCTGTCTCCTCTCCTTATCTGATGAGTTTGACTTTGTGTTATGCACCTTTAGCTTTCAATGGCTTTCTTTACTACATGTCATCCTTGACTTATAACCATTCATTTAGTGACTTTTCAAACTTACCCCGGCGCTGAAAAAGTGACTTACGGTGGTTCCAGCATCCCTGTGGTCACATGATCAAAATTCAGACACTGGGCCAGTGCCATGCGATCATCTATTACAACCCTACGACAAGCCAATTCCATGGGAAGACAGATTAATTTAGCAACTGTGTTACTTGTCAGGGTTCCAAGTAAGACCCCCAATGAATGAAGATTCCGAGGGTTGAAATTCCTCCCATTTTATTAGAGATGACATATTGGCACATCTGGGAAAACTGGAATCTGAGAGTTTCCGGGTTTTCCCCACACAAGTGAAAGTCCAAGTCCCTGCCCAGCACCCACATGTCCGTCACATGGTCCAGTCAGGCACCGTCCCAACTGGAGATGTCTCCTAGTCACACCATCGCAGCTGCAGGGAAGACGTCCTTGACTCTCTCAGAAAGGAATGTTATTTTGACTATATATCTCTCCCATACACCATATAATCCACTCTCTCATTTCCACAGAGCAGTAAATGTGGTAGGCTGGAAGGCCCAAGGCAAAAGATGGCGTCCGGGCCTGACATTACTAAGTTAAAAACTGTAGTGATTCACTTAACGACTGTGGCAAGGCAGGTTGTATAATGGGGCAAAACTCAACTTACCCACGGTCTTGCTTAGCAATGGAACTGTAAGGTTCCAGAAGTTTTCCCGAGCCGCTGAAATGCCAAAGAGAGAGAGACTCAAGACGAGGCTTGCAAAAATACCAGCTTTTAATTAAGGCCATAGCAAAAGCTGGGTGACAAAACTATATCCAAAACACAAGCAAATGTATGTAAGGAACAGCCACCCCCTGCCAGAGGGGCTCAGAGTATTATATACATTTTAGGCAGAGAGAAACAAAGTTTATCCAATCAGAGACAAAGATTCATTACCAATGTGATTTTTAAAGCGTTCTTTTGTTCTGTCTCTGTCCGTGACCCATCAAAACCGCGGTCCACAAAAGCGCGATCGACGAAAGCGCGCATTTGACGTCATCACAGCGCGACGAAAAAAATTAAAAATTGAAATAAAATTAAAATTAAAGCAAGCCGATTCACATAAAGGTAAGGGTTAGGGTTAGGGTTAGGGTTAGGTTAAGGGTTAGGGTTAGGTTTAGAGCGTTAGGGTTACGTTTAGTGTTAGGTTAAGGGTTAGCGTTAGGTTTAGCGTTACGTTAACGGTTAGGTTTAGGGTTAGGTTTGGGGGGGTTAGGGTAAGGTTTTTGCTTTATTTTTACATTTTTCGATCACAGCGCGATGTTTTCGTCGCACTGTGATGACGTCAAATGCGCGCTTTCGTCGACAGCGATTTTGTCGTCTGCGGTTTTGTGGTGGAACCTCTCTGTCTACCTTATCTATGGAGTATTCCAGGGGTGGCAGCCCTGTTTTGCCAAGTTGTTTTTTAGCGTAATGTTTTAAGGATCTATGAGCCAGGAAAACTCCTTAGTTTGGTTCTTTTCTCTATGCGGCCTGCTATTCCCATGTAACAATTTCTTCTACTAGTTTTCAAGAATGCCCCTAGCTTTGAAGCCGAGAATAGAAGCGAGACGCAGCAGGGAGATAACATTTGCCGTCCAGTATTAAGGTTACAATTTGCTAGGCTAGAAAACAACTAATTTGTGACAGTGTACAATAATATAAGCAGAAGCCAATAGCAAAGCTTAATTCTTAATAAATGATTTCTAGCAGTATATCATCAAAAGCAAACGGCAAATATTGGTTTAATCAGTGGCAATTACATAGTAACATAAGCAATTCATAATAAAAGCAAATAGCCAATATTGATTCATATTGATTCACATACTACTTCAGAACTTTTGGTCTCAGATTTCGGTCGTAAGTTGAGAACTACTTGCATCCTAAGTTTCCTAGTCAAATATAGTTTAGAAAAAAGTCAGAGGCACATCAGACTTGTTTCTCATAAAATAATCAAGAAAACCGTGCCCCAATTCCTTCCTGGCTATTGTCCGACGTAATTAGAAGATAAGGGAAACTTAATGTACCCAAACGAAATGAATTGCAGCAGAAGTCTTGTTTCAGGCTTCTGTTTTTCATCAGCATTTTTCCTTAGGACTTAATACCAAATCTGTTATCACTGTCCTGATCTAGAGCTGGAATTGGTGAGTGATATTCCTGCAGGCTACTATTTTCAGCCACGAGCTCGGGAGCCTCTCCGGCCATTATTTTAGGGCAGCTTTTTCTGGTTTTGGGGTGATAAAAAGCCCACAGGTCTGACCTGCAGTGGTACAGACCCCAATCTGCACGCTCCCCTTCCCTAGGATCTGTGATTTCAGGGGGAGTCAAGATGAAGAGGGGAGGGCATGAGATGGGGGAGCTGCCAGGGATCAAACCAGGGGAAGATCGGGGGTGTCTGAATGGCCGCTTCACCATTAGCACCCTCTTCAGCCCGGAGGGCAGCTGCGGCACCAACCACTACAGCCAAACGGGGGCTGCTCCCTATGACATCATCACCCAAAGCAGCCACTGTACCCACAATGGCACCTTCTACATGCAGACCTTTGGATATAATACCATTGATGTGGTACCCAACTATGAGAACTATGCCGACACCAAGATCTCTAGTGAGATCAAGAAGCCGAGACCAACACTTGCAGATCTGCACTCCTTTCTTAAGGTATATGGCTATATGCCAACTAATTCAGCCTTCCACGTCCTCTTTTTCTTTCCCGAACCTTTCTTCATCCTCCCCTTTCTTCCCCTTCTTCATCCTCCTCTCCTTCCTTTCTTCATTCTCCGCTTTCCTCCCCCTCCTTTCACTTCCTTTCATCCTTTTCTTTCTTCATCTCCCCCTCCCCTTCTTCATACTTTCTCTCCTTCAGCCTTCCTTTCCTTTCTCTTCTTCATCCTCTCCTTCTCCCCTTCTTCACTCTCCTCTCCCCTTCATCCTCTCCTTCTTCATACTTCCTTCCTCATCCTCTCTTTGATCTCTAGTGAGATCAAGAAGACGAGATCAACACTTGCAGACCTGCGCTCCTTTCTTAAGGTATATTCCAACTCCAATTAATTCAGAGCCTTCCTCTTCCTCTTTTCCTTTCCCTTTCCTTCCTGAAACTTTATTCATCCTTCCATCCCCTTCCCTTCTTCATCCTCCCCTTCCCCTCTCCTTCCTTTCACTTCCCTTCTTCATCCTTCCCTCCCCATCCTCTCCTTCCCTTTCTTCATCCTTCCCTCTTCTTCATCATTCCTTCCCTTTCTCTTCTTCATTCTCTTTTTCCCTCCCCTTCTTCATCCTTTCCCTTCTTTATCATTCCTTACTTCACTCTCCCTTATCCTTCCTTCCCCTCCCCTTCATCTTCTCCTTCTCTTTCTTCATCCTCCCCTCCCCTCCCCTGACATCCTTTACGATCACAGCTACCGCTGTTGTCTTTTCCTGATGGAAGTTTTACTTGGCCATTTCCTTTCTTGAAATCAAAACTAAGAATCTTCAGTCTTCTCCTCTGCCTGCTCTTGTGCTCTTTCTGTTTCAGAGTGAAGGACTTGGTACAACCAGTATACCACTGTTACAAAATTGAAATTGTGATGTAGAATAAATGTAAAATGTAATATATATATATATGTGTGTGTGTGTGTGTGTGTGTGTGTGTGTGTATGTAATATATAT